TAATTTTCGTACTTCGCTTGTTAAACACGTGTTTACACAAAACCACCTGGCTCAGGAAATAATGTTTGGGTGGGAAATACAGCAGTAAACTGTTGAAAAACATTGAACTGAATGCATATGAACATATGTAGTTTAAATTTATTCTCCATAAATGGGCATAAAAAACTTTCAATTTTAGAGGAATCAAAATAGGGATTTATAGCTTGAGAAAATAATGTAGACACTATTTCCAGCCTAGTTTGTTTACTTTTTCAAAGTTTCTAGTCGTGGGCTTGAAAATATGGTAATTTACATTTTGATTCAACTTGTTTCTATACTTTTTTGACGATCCCTATTCCCCATTGTAAATTAACATTTTTTAATTATCTTGTTGCTCTACCAAACACATTGGACATCAAAGGTGTACTTAAAATTACGCAGGAGGTGTTCTTTATTTATAATATTCGTGTTATAATTGATTTTGTTTAATACTGGTTTTCGGACCTGCTAGCTGGATAGCATGATGTGGTTTTCCTTATCATCAACATTTGCATTTGGTTGAAGAAAAATGATTGAAGCTCTGTCGTTTCAAGATTACTGATGATGAGGTGAAATTCTCCGAAACTGAGATAACTCAGTGGTATTTGTCGTAATTGAAAAAAAAAAACGAAATATTTGTGAACAATATGAAAAAATAAATGATATCCAAACTTTCACCGTTTCTAAAACATTATTGCAGTGGTGATTTATCTGTTGTGAATGAAGGACATTATAAACACGATACACATAACCTGCAATTCACCACTGCAAGAGAACTGATTTTGTTTATTTGCCTTCGTTTACTGATAAAGCATAAAATTCTACGAAACTGGCCTAATTCAGTGATATGTAGCTGATCTCGGAAACGATTAGGCCTAACATTTTCATTACAGGTTACATTCTTGTATTATTTGCCTCACTTATTCATATATTCACTAAAATATTTGTAAAATAATTGCTGTGTATTTTTTTTTTTTTACAGGCTTCCTCTGGTGTACAGATTATGTCAAGATTAATTGTAAAGTACACACTATCTTAATTTTACAGAATGTAAAAGTAACGATATTTTAAACCCTGGATACAGTAACATCATTATGTTGAAACACTATATACATAAGACTATCGTACATATAAATACCATTATTTCTATTTTATGATCGCTGTTAACAGTTAACAAAAAATGACTAACAAACGCGAAAAAAACAAACATTAGTGAGCGACGTTTGATACATAACAATAAGATAGCTTAAAAAGGCACCCACTGTTCGATTAGAGTATTCCAAGATTTGACGCTAGGTGGTGTTGACTAGTTTTACATTCCCTCTAGCCTTATCAGTTGAAAATTAGAGACGGCTGTCGCAGGTAGCCCCTCGAGTAGCTTTCGCGAAAATTCAACCAACACAAAAACAGCTTACAATGTAATTTATGTATAGAATGTTTAAAACGTTGAAGGTCAACGATCTTCCAACTGTTCACCTTCATCTTGTGGGTTTGGAGAAGACAAACTTGAACAAAATTAGTAAAAAAAAGGCAACTATGCACTTTTGCCATTAAATAATATGATCATAAAAAAAGGCAACTATGCACTTTTGCCATTAAATAATATGATCATAAAAAAAGGCAACTATGCACTTTTGCCATTAAATAATATGATCATAAAAAAGGCAACTATGCACTTTTGCCATTAAATAATATGATCATTGATGCCTTTTTAGGAAAATGTTTGAATTTTAGACACAGATATTTTAAGTTATAGTTTTAAATGAACGTTATGCAAGTTTATCAAGTAAGCTTTTTATACCTGTATGTGTTTAATATAAAGTGTTGTAGTCATTCGGTTTTAGAGCTGTGCGTTTAGCGTGTCGGGTTAAGAATATTAAGGTCCGGGGTTCGAGACGTGATGCCGATGAACACGCTCCGCTCTTTCAGTTGTGGGCGTTTTAAAGAATTGACAGTCACTCCTGTTATTCCGTTCAAAGAGTTGGGCAAAGCTCTTGCGGCGGTGGGTGCTGCTTGCTGGCTAGCTTTCTTCACTCTGGTCAGCAGTCCAAGATAGGAACTGCCGTGCACAAATTCCAATGGTCATTCGGCCCACATGGCCACAAGATATCGTTCAGGTTAAAAATTTCTATTTCAATATAATTTGGAACACCGCAGCATTAGGAAAGTGTAAATTAAATGTATATAATGAGAAATCTAGCTGAGTAATAATGAATTAATGCTTTGTCTCAGATCACTACCAGCGTATTCACCGTACAACGTTACTCCAAATGTGAAAGAATGAGAAAAATAGTTCACCAATAGAAAACTATTGGTACAAAAAACTGAGTAATAATGAATTAATGTTTTGTCTCAGATCACTACCAGCGTATTCACCGAACAACGTTACTCCAAATATGAAAGAATGAGAAAAATAGTTCACCAATAGAAAACTATTGGTACAAAAAGCTGAGTAATAATGAATTAAGGCTTTGTCTCAGATCACTACCAGCGTATTCACCGGACAACGTTACTCCAAATATGAAAGAATGAGAAAAATAGTTCACCAATAGAAAACTATTGGTACAAAAAGCTGAGTAATAATGAATTAATGTGTTGTCTCAGTTCACTACCAGCGTATTCACCGGGCAACGTTACTCCAAATAGGAAAGAATGAGAAAAATAGTTCACCAATAGAAAACTATTGGTACAAAAAGCTGAGTAATAATGAATTAATGTTTTGTCTCAGTTCACTACCAGCGTATTCACCGGACAACGTTACTCCAAAT